CATTACGCGTGAACGTAGATTCGTCTGTCACCAATATGCATTTCAAAAAGTCCGGATTATTGTCATCTTGATGCAACAACCACTCACAAAACCGCACTCTTGCTGGAAAATCGTCAGGTTGAAGGGCTTGTACACGTTGGACGTGAAACGGATACAGCCCCTCTTCACGCAGTGTTTGCCACACTTTAGTTTTTGATACTTGCACTTCTCTAGCCACGTCTCTAGTGCTTGTTGAGGGATTCTAGTCTACGCGATTACCTCTAGACGCATGACCGTAACCGTCGGTTGAAGGTTGCATACTGACCTGACACAGTTGACCCAGTTCTGTCGTCGGGTTGAGCTAGTGTTCTAGTACCAGTCGGGGATGTCGCGGCTACAGGACGGTATTCAGATATTTTTGATGTTGCAGAGCCCTTTATCTCGGTTCCGTTAAGACATTGGTGTATATGGTATTAAGAAAAATTGCTTATGTTTTCAAGATCTACACGTCGTGTAAAGGAAAACTCCAACTTTGCGAACACCCTGTATAAATAAACAAAATACATTTTTAAAAGCTTTTATTTAGCTGTTCATTAAATAGACTAAGCATTTAAAAATGTGCTTTCTTTCTGATTGGACATATTTAAACGATATTGAAGCTCCTTCACCTAAAGTGTTATGATTTGACAGCAGGATGAAAAAGGGTTGTAATACGCCTTTATTTGAAAACTTGAGATGAAGAAACTACATTATTTAAATATTCTCAATCGGAAAAAGGTTATTTTAAAATTTTTTTATTTCGCTAATGATGTAGCTAAATGAAATCTTGACTTCAAAAATGATTTTTATTTTGTTTATTAAATTTTAGGCACACGAAACTTCCAAACATTGTTGGTGATAAGAAGAGTAGTCCGGTTTCACAGAGAACTTTTTCGGATACGTCCTGAAGTGATTAGAAAATTTTGGACGTCCAAAAGTTTTACTATATTACTAGACAGTCGGACAGATCGGCGGATATGAACGACATGATGATCATACCAATTAAGATCCAAGATACCAAGTAAAAACGCGTATGTATTTACATGTTTCTCAATACCGGCAGAGCATCTGGAAACGTCTTGGTCCGGTCCGACGTGGCAGCGCGGTCAGAGCATAGGAAACACTATGCTGTGGCGTGACAGAAATGCAAGTAGCACTATATCAGAACAATATAACACTTACCCAGGTCGGCAGCTCGCCACAGGGAGTATCAGCCGCGGCAGGTAGGTCCGATATTCGAGCACTGAGTATATTTTTTATATGCTCAACGGCTAATATGCGGAGAAATATATGACGTGTGAAATATGTCTAGCAGGTGAGTAGAATAAACAAGGTAGTGAGCATATACATTTACCAACACGACATAAAGCCTCCCCACCCTCCTACAACACCCACCTCCATAATTTTTTTGCCTCTACACTTTTTTCAAAATTGATCAAGAACTTCAAAGAGCGAAGTTTGAGCGATTTAGATTCTTTTTAATTTGTTGCCATTTTTCTCTACCGCCTTTAGACCGGTTTTAAAAAACTACGAATCTTTTTCGTCCTTGGTATAGTAGTAGTAGTATTTGTGTAAAAATTTCATCATAATCTGAGCGGTACTCCTGAAGCTAGCGGACAGACCGACGTACAGACCGACAGAAATAAGTGACATTATTTTTCGTCACCTAACATCCAAAACATACCTCTTGGTAAAAACTATACATGCTTGATTCTTGGACTCGGAGAGCAACAAAATACTGGCTAGAAAATTGGATTTGCCCAAGTAATGACTCTATCGTTCTGAACGGTCACATTACCATAGATAATAGCACTATAAAGCTTTGTAACAGAGAACCTACAAAAAGTTTGTTCGTATAAAAGTATATCTAATGAGCGCAATTTACCAGGAAAAAAGAAGGGCACGCAAGCGTTGTATTGCGTATAAAAACTCCCATTGAACGAAGCACCAACACACTCAATTTTGTCACAATGTGTTGGTTTCCATCCTTTTGTGTCCGGCAACAAGGGAGTCCTTGGCATGGACAGGCCCCATATATCAGCGACCTCTTGTTGTTTACCTTCAGAGAGATACGAGGGCTGATCTTTATGCGACTCCTGTAACGTCCTAACAATGAAGCTATTTTTCTTGTATTATTTATGTCTTTATTTTAATTAATAATAACAATAATAATAATAATAAATGCCTTTATTTTTAAATAGTTCTCGAAAAAAGAGAGAGAAACATGAGTATTAACAAAAAAAGGAAAATAAAAAAAAATGAAACAAATGTCGAATGTCTGAAAACCACAAGGGCGAGTTCATTATCTAGTGCTCTTCCAGTCATCCCTTGAAATTGTAAGAAACATGCCAGTAAATACATCCATCAAGCATATACAAACATCAATATGAACAGCATGTACGTTTTTTTAAAATAAGATAGAAACGTGATTATAATTATGGTATAATTAAAAAAAAGTCCAGAATAATATATACACATATATGTATATATATACCTATACATACCGATAAAGAAGCGTCAATATGAACGACAATTAAGTTTGAAAAAAAAAAGAGCAAAGAGAAAACGTGGTGGTAAATTTAAAAGTCTAGAATGATATACGAATACATATACGTATATTATGCATCATATGAAAAAAAAATATAAACAAAATAATGGAATGCAAACAAAATACAACCGAAATTCCGAAGCAGCAGTAAGAATAATTCTACTTTATACATTCAAGGTAAGAATCACGCAAAACTGCTTTGAACTTATGAATTTCATATGATTTGAGGTACTGGGGGATAGGATTGTATAGCTTATATATGTTATACGTATATGATCATAAAATATAGTTCTGTGGAAGGGAGCGGTAATGTTTTGTTTCGAACGAATATTTTCGGAATGGATGTCTTTTCTGAATGTTATTTTCTCGTAGACGTAATGAGGCTGCCTGAGAGTGAAAAAGCATATTGTGAATATCTCAAAACGAGCCTTTATATTTAGCCACCGTAGTTCTTTCAGCTTTTGACAAACTCTTCAAATTTTCTTATACCATATATAAAACGTATGCATGTGGTCTGTGTTCTCTGTACTCGCATTAATGCATCACAATCTAAACATGCAGAATAAATTGGAACACAGTACGAAAACTGTGATAAAACCAGGGTTCGCAAAGAATTCTTTTGATGTCTAAATTGAGAAAATTTCGGTGAGGATACAATAACTTTAGAGCCAGATAAGATTTTTTGACAGTTTGATATGTGATCACGAAACCTCACATCATAATCCTTTGTTAAGCCTAAGTTTTTAACTTAATCACAGTATTTTAATCTAATATTATTTATGGTTATATTTAAATTCTCAATCACATAAGAACGGATTGTGCAAATCAGCGTGCAATTTATCCATTTCAAGAGTCCTAAGTGTAAAAGAGTGGTTCAATTTTATGTTTATCTTGTAGTACCTTACACGAAATCAGTTCGTGATCTGTTAAATCTAATCCGCCATCGTGCTTAGATTCGATCATAGAAGGATCGTTGCAAAGAATAACATCTATTAATGTCGCCGATGTATTAGTAATATGAGTAGCTTCTTCCACTATTTGCTGTATACCTGTAGAATCTTACATTTCAAGCATATAATTTGTAGGTGCAGCCTCAGTGTCGAGGAAATTTATATTTACGTCTCCTAGGCATATCGCTTTATCCTCATGGAACATAGCCACACATAAAGATTCTTCAAGTTCATCGATAAAATATTTATAACTGAAATGTGGTGGTCGATATACTGCTCCAACTGCGTATGATTTACCTTTTAGTGAGACTGAGACCCAAAGTTGTTCAATATTATGTGATACCTCAATTTGTGAGTATTTCAACTTACTATCTATATACAAACCTACTCCTCCACCTCTGGTACTTCTGTCAAACCTAACAAGATCATAACCTTGAATATACACTGTATTATCGCTTATACTGTCATTCAACCACGTTTGAACATATTTCACGCATCATAGGTTCCCCCGTACATTGTTATAACCTATAATTTTTCTACTATTCACGAGGCGTGTCTCTTATGAAGTGGGACCTGATTAAAGTATTCGTGTTAGTCAATTGTTTATAGCGTCATTTGACAGACCACATATTTTTGAGGTCAGGTTGTTTGTTCCGAATTGATGCGAGAATTCATTCGATTCCAGTGAGAGTTGAAAGTCCGATTAGAAATGGATTTGACGCAAGAAAATTATCGTGAAATAATTTTTTACAATTTCATGCGTAAGTTAACGCAACAAGCATGTATCGCTGAACTTAAACAGAGTTTGAACGCGGACGTACTAGTCTGGAGAAACACTATGGTGGAGGACCAGCAAAAACAGCGATGACTCCAGAAAACATTGATGGTGTTAAGTTAATCGTCGAAGATAGACATGTTACATACAGGGAGATTCAGGCAACCATAGGTGTCTCAGGGACTACAATACAAATGATGGTGTGTCAAGAGCTGCGCGTGAGAAAGCTGATTCCTCGTTGGATACCCTATCTTTTCACTAAGGACCCAAAAGCGGTTCGTTTAGATTGGTGTCGTAAAGCTTTGCGGCGATTTAATGAAGGGGCTTCTGATCACGTATATGATATTCTAAGTGGTACTTAAGGATGACGTGAAACGAACAAAAGTGATGCGCTGCAAAAGCGTCTCCGAGAAAATGGTCGCCAGTTCTGTAGGCAAATCTGGGCACGTTGCCACAATTGCCCCCGAGGATCGTCGATTGCTCAATGCAGATTGGTATACAACCATTTGCTTCCCTCGCACTATTACCAAACAGCGAAAAAAAAATGAGAATCGCCGAATCCTTCATTACGATAACGCAACCGCAAACACTGCTCGTCGCACAGACTGTCGAGATTTTAGATCACCCACCATATTCACCTGACTTAGGCCCCAACGACTTTTATACTTGCCCCAAAATTAAGAATAAATTACATAGGATTTGTTTTCAGTCTCCAGAGGAAGCGGTAGAAGCTTATACAGAGGCTATTCTAAGTACGCCAACTTCAGATGGAATTACTGCTTTACAGATTGGTTTGTGTGAATGTAAAAATGTATCGAGTTTAAGGGCGAATACTTAGAAAAACAATAAATATTCTCTCGTTTGCCAAGTTGTTTCATTAGGTCGTAGTTAATACTTCCGAAAATGCCATAATATTCGCTTGACCTTTTGATCCTTAACTTTTAGGAAGCATTCAACAAGTTCAATTTAGAAATTTTTAGTTGTCAATATTGTCAAGTCGCTTTTGCAACAATGCTTGAGGGACAAGTCTTGGTAGTGATCTTGTAACTTAGAATGATAGAGAAATGTCTTCGATTCGCGTACTCCTATTAAGCTCACAAAACATATACACTGAAGGACGATAACTAGCTGCATCAATACCGCGGTGATCGCTGCCACGCAGATGTGGAAATGGACAACGATGCCAGATGGACTAATTGTATGGGCCTGTTTGACTGTCTTGATCCTTCAAATTTGTTTGTTATACATGTTCGTAACTGATTTTTTCCTCAGATTGCACTGATCTTAGTCGTTTATGAACTGAGGAAGGCGTTGCGTAGGAAGAGTCAATCTAATTGACGCCGTTTTTTTGCAGATATTTTATTATGGCTCTCCGCTTACCAGTACCCACGGTTGCTAAAATTCTTGTCATTAAATATCACACGACTTGAAAATACTTTGAACTTGATGTTTCTTGGACGTGATCTATTAAGCAATTCCACGCTTCAGGGACTGACAATCACAAGACATGTTGTTATACTTTCTGTCATTCTGATTAAAAAATAGATACAGCAATCATTTCATAAGCAATGGAATTAGCCCATTTTTGTCAGCCGCCTTGAAAGATCTCGAATTAGGTTAAGGGGATTTCTTCCTGTAAAGATTCTGTGAAACTAAATAAAAATGAACAATCGAAAAACTGCCTGTTATGATTATTCGCAAAATGTTTTGCAGAGTAGTGATAAACTTAAGTACTGTAGTATGTTTGCCTTAATAAGAGTTCATTCTCCACAAAGATAGTAAATAGCAACTTTCTATATTGAAACAAAAAAATATGTACATCACAGAATGTGAGACTTCTGTGTTGGGCGGTTTGTTTGTGGCGCAAAAACTGGCACTTGTGATGCTTAGATTTAGTCTGAATTGTGCTGATATCATTCCAAGACGACAGAAACACAAAAAGAACATAGATATTCCGAGTATTTCGTTGTTGATTGGGAGTTTGTGTTTAAAACAATTGTGAGATGCTTCTGGGAGTCTCGCAAATTGTTACTGGTAACTTCACATGATGCATGTTCATCGCACAGATCATAGCTGAACCTTATGTGCAAGTATTTGATTGAAAAAACATTATGCTAAATTAACGGAGCGGCTGTAGAATGCAGAAAACATAGTTTATGTGCATATTTTGCTGCTTTGTATGTATATACCATGTCTTGAGATATGAAAATTTCTTTATGCAAAGTTAGTTAATTATTCCTGCTGGATCCTAAATAGGAAGAGTCAGACCCTCCCCATTTCAAATATATGATATTATATGCATGTTTAGTGTCACGGACTGACTACAAAAGATCCTATTTCATAAAAATGCGATTATCAATTGAGAAGCTTCAGATCCTTCAAGGATAACACGGGAACATTTGACAAATTCGATGAAGAATATCAACTCCGGTCAATTTTGAGGCCGGGTTAGCAGGATATGTTGCTTATGAAGACATACTTACTCAGTTTATGTGAAATAAAATAGCCACATAAATAATCATGTACGGTAAGTTTCAGTTTTTGACTATCAAGTTGACAACTACATTAATGAAAGAAGCACCTGCAAAGGAGTCAACGATGGAGCATAGGGGTCTCCCCTCGTATATCGGGCGGTCTCTCGTTGTCTTGTTAAGCTACGGCCAAATAATACCAACCATATCGGACATGACAGGGGTTTTGGTGCGACATCATTAGCGTTACAGCTCAATCAGCTGATTCAGTTCACATCGATGGACATGGTATGTGGGTATCGGCTTAAAGTCCTGACTGAGGACAAAACGTATGTGCTGTCGGCAAGGCATGTTAATTTCAGTAATAGTAAGCACTATGTGCTTCGCCATTCGTCAACTACAGGGTTGCGATTTTTAGGTTGAGCGACGTACAGATCCTTTCGAGATTTTTGACCTAATAAATATACTAAGTGACATATAAATCCGAACACCCAGTTTAAATGGTTTTATTTTAATAAAAGTTGGTGAATGTATTTATCTTACTGTAAATAACAAGTGAAAAAATTTCAGTCGGACATTCCGGTAAATGAATATTTCAGCCGCAGTAAAGAATCAACGTTGGCGGATTTTGGTTCTTGACATCCTTTACGATCGGTTACGATGCCTAGAGTACGGAGACCTGTACGATTTCGTCAACTTAGTGAGTTTGATAGGGGCCGTATAGTGGGACTTCGGGAAGCTGGACTTTCTTTTCGGGCAATTGCAGTTAGAGTACAAAGAAGTGTAGACACTGTGGTTAGGTGTTGTCAGGTATGGCTTCGAGAATGCCGTACGCAAAGAGCAAGGGTCACTGGACGCCGCCGTAGAACAACAGACCGTGAAGATCGCCGCCTAAGATTATTGGCCTTAAGGGACCGTTTCTCCACTACCAGGTCCATTGCAAATGAATGGTTTGCAGAACACGGAAGACCTATTGGCATGCGAAGTGTTTACCGACGAATGAGAAGTTTTGGCTTGTTTTCATACCGGCCACACTGGGTCCTCCGTTTAACTCGAGAACACCGACGTAATCGCCTTGAGTGGTGCAGACAACGGTCACTCTGGGATCAGGAATGGAACAGTATTGTCTTTAGTGACGAGTCTCGATTTTGTTTAGGCATGCACGATGGTCGTGCCAGGGTTAGAAGGGGACGTGGTGAAAGGAGGAATCCACAGTTTTTTGTTGAAAGACATGTTCATCACACTGTTGGAGTTATGGTTTGGGGTGCTATAGCTTAAGGTTCCAGGTCACCTTTAATCTTCATCAGAGGTAACCTGAACGCGCAGCGTTATATCCACGAAGTTCTAGAACCCCATCTTTTACCCTATCTTGACACCCTGGCAGATCCAACTTTCCAACAAGATAATGCCCGACCACATGTTGCAAGAGTCACAACAGACTTCTTTCAACATAATGATGTCACATTGTTACCATGGCCACCAAGATCTCCCGACTTATCCCCAATTGAGCACGTGTGGGATATGATGGGTAGGAGATTGCTCAATTTGCAACGTCCTCCTCAGACTCTAGAAGCACTTCGAGAGGAGTTGATGATTGCCTGGAATGAGATACCACAGGAGGACATTGACCACCTGATCAGAAGCATGCCTAGGCGCGTTGGAGAATGCGTAGCACATCAGGGTGCATCCACACATTATTAAAGGTCAAAGGGCTTTAAAGCAGTGCAATCATTTTGAAATTTTTATCATTTACTTATTATGCTTCATTAAGTACTTATACAAAATTTTATTAAAATAAAACCATTTAAACTGGGTGTTCGGATTTATATGTCACTAGAGAAAGAGTAGCTAGTGGTGCGAAGTGTGTCGCTTAACTGTCTGAAGAAAAATTGTAGGTTGCGGAAGCAATCCCATATCGGAGCTGCTACTCGCTCTTGCACACGAACACACGATTGAATCGAGGGATAGAGGTTCGTCGTCTTCATTCATTTTCTCACAGAGACTTTTGCATTGTAGTTGTATATATGCATTTCTGTTTTATATCACATATCAACAAATCGCAAGGGCCATGACAAACACTTGACAGACTTGAGAGCAATAAATGCAAATCAGGTGGTTGAATGGACATAGATAAAAGTACCATACACCTCACGCTAGATGGCGATATCAGTGCTTCTCATGTCATGTTCTGTGCATGTTTTGTTGTTCTGGGCCATACGTGCATAAGAAGTTTCCACTTAAAAGGTACGTCGAATTTCAAAAGTATCGAGCACGACCTCTTTGACGGTGCGATACAAGTATGTGCTTTTAGTAGACCGTACTTGGTGGAGTAGACCTGATGTCAAAGATGAGAATTTGTATGGGAGATCTGTCTCTAAATTTCGCCATCTCGCCATATTTACTATATTTGGATCTTATTCTATGTACGTATAGCTTCACCTGTTTAGCTGTGCTGATAAGACATAGGATAAGCATTGATGTTCACATCAAGGCCACGTGTATTCTCTGGGGGCGAAGTGCATAGTGGGGAGATATCAAACGATTTTTGCGAACGTAGTGGACAAAAAGGGAAACATCATCGGCCTTGTAGAGAAATCTAGGCATGGCCTATATAGTGCAATCATTTCAGTCATATCTATTATGCATATATGCATAGAAAAACCATTGGTGCTTTGCTCTGCAAGTACCTGGTATACCGACGACTTGACAGATAGGGTAGAACGTTGAGCGGTGTGAGCTAGGGAGCGTAAAAGTCTCTGTATCGCCTTTATCGTACGGGATGATGATGGAAGTCAGCTTGAGAGGAAAAAAATTGGTAGGTAGCGATCGTCATATTTCCATCTTCTTGCGTACAATGTTTCGAGTTCTTCAAATAAACGAGTAGACCTAAGACCTATACCTCACTGATCAGTTGCTAACGAACGAAAAACAGCGCTGTCTGCGGTTGGTCAGTGCTACAGGAGACAGTAAGCAAAAACGTCTTTTTCAATAATGAAATCTTCCTCATGTCAAATATTTTATTTTCAGTGATATCTGTGATATTCGCTGGGTGGCGGCATATTAATTTAGTTCTTTGTTACAGATATTCTTCATCACATCAGGAAGCCTCATTCATCTAAGCGCAGATATTGAGGTAAGCGGTCATCATCATTTATCAAATATTGAACCAATAGGTGAAAAAATCCTTTTGAATTTGTTGATTGTCTTTTACCAAAAGAGTAGACTGCATAAAAACAAAAACAAAACGAACTATGATAAGGTAGGACCGTTTCACCTACAACATATATAGGTAAGTGAAAAGGTGTGACCTAAAACGAAATTCTGCAGCAATTAGAAGGAACATTGGATATTATTGCTTGGGAGGCATTTTGTGCCAGAAAGTTTAGTTTGCAGTTTCTTTTTATACAGGGTGTCCGCAAAGTTGGGGTTTTCCTTTTCAGAAACAACTACCCTTGAAATAACAAAGGTAATGTGTAGTGAAACGAGGGCGACCAAGTAAAAAAAAAATAAAGGAAAAAGTACTCACTCTCCAGTTGACGAGAAGGGCTAAGTACGTCTCTACCCGAAATCAAACCGCTCCAACAGAAAATGAAATCAGCTGATGCGCTACCGAGCAGACGCAGGCAAACAAGGAAGGCAAAATGTTGCGTAAAAAGTCTAGGTATTGCATCCCGTCCAATCGATTTGGGAGAATAAATGGTCCAATGAGCATACCGTTCACCATGCCAGCCCAAACATTCACCGAAAATGTTTGTTGAAAATGTGCCCGACGGATAGCGTGCGGATTTTCTACTGACCAAACATGAGTGTTGCGAAAGTTATTTACCCCATTACGCGTGAACGTAGATTCGTCTGTCACCAATATGCACTTCAAAAAGTCCGGATTATTGTCATGTTGATGCAACAACCACTCACAAAACCGCACTCTTGCTGGAAAATCGTCAGGTTGAAGGGCTTGTACACGTTGGACGTGAAACGGATACAGCCCCTCTTCACGCAGCATTTGCCACACTTTAGTTTTTGATACTTGCACTTCTCTAGCCACGTCTCTAGTGCTTGTTGAGGGATTCTCGTCTACGCGGTTACCTCTACACGCGTGACCGTAACCGTCGGTTGAAGGTTGCATACTGACCTGACACACTGACCCCGACCTAGTTCTGTCCTCGGGTTGAGCTAGTGTCCTAGTACCACTCGGGGATGTCGCGGCTACAGGACGGTATTCAGATATTTTTGATGTTGCAGAGCCCTTGATCTCGGTTCCCTTAAGACATTGGTGTATATGGTACTAAGAAAAATTGCTTATGTTTTCAAGATCTACACGTCGTGTAAAGGAAAACCCCAACTTTGCGGACACCCTGTATAGACCCTGAGATCAAATGCACCGTTGTGCTCGATCTCAGGGCACAAAAACAAAATAAAATTGATTTCCAATGTAGATCTTGGTATTTCTTGCAATCTGTATAACTGCCAAAATTCGCAGTTGAAACAAATCAGAAAATATAGACTGTACAGGTATTAACTTGGGGAACCTGATTTTCCTCTTGTTGACTTCAAATTTCTTTGTCTAATTTATTGGATTCTATATAAGTACATTCTTTACTTGAAAAATACCAATTCTATGGCGAAAATATTATGAGATATAGATGATAAATGTATTTGTCACTTGAACGCCATGACACCGGGGCTGCTAAGAGGATCCCAAATAAATTTTGTTAATCCTATTTTTGAACTGCCTAAGGTTAGTAGAACTAGAAAAAGCGCCCTCTTGTAGATTCTTCCTTAGTTTCGACACTGGGACTAAGGAGCGGTCGTATCAGCCAGTTCTGGGTGTACGAAGTTGGACACGGTCAGGATGAGAGCCCAAAGTCAGGCGGGTCTGTCCGGCAGGCACATCGCGCGGCGGCATCATGGAGAATTGCTCTGAGGAGCGAAGATTGTTGGTATAGCGGTAGATGAGAGCTAGATCGCCGACGGCTCGCCGGTTCTGAAGGGTCCTGAGACTGTCTGGGCCTTGTATAGAGTGAAAAGGTCATGCGGAGGAAAGTACTTCTTAGTCCTAAACAAATAGCCTAGCTTTTTCCCAGCAGCTGCAGCTATTGACGAGATGTGTTCGTGCCAGATCAGGTCCGCGGTGATCCGGACTACGACCAGCCGAAATGAACGGCTCTTTGGTAGAAATCTAACATCCATCGAAATTTGTTAGATCATTAAACCAAATCCTGATCCTACGCCTATCTGGCAACTCTCATTTTATCGCATTTGATTTAGTCTGTGAGTATTTCTGCAAAGAATGTTGTTCTGAGAATGAAAACTTTTAGCTAAAAAGTAATTGGGCATTAAATTCTGCATCCGTTGATCCATTCCCTTTTGGGAACTTATGCTAGGGTGTTTAAAGATCGAAGCTACTGCGAAAAACTAAAGTATGACAACATTCTTGTCACAAAAGGAATTTAGCTACAATGTGATGGTAAACGGGATCATGGACTGTAATCAAACATTATAATGATGTATAACTCTCTTGATTCATCAAGTTTTTATGCAAATGATAGCTGCAATCACAAGGAAAACAGATCACATCAAGGTTGTCGACCACATCTAAGGAACAATATTATAGTATAGACTCTAGATTCAAAAGCGCATGTTTGTCTTATAAAGGAACCTGACGTTTTCAGAATAGATAGTACGAAGCTGTTTTTTGACGTAGAACATCGGTTACAGTGGGCAAGACATCGGTAGTAGATGCCATTTCAGTAGTCATGGAGCTGTGGACAAGTGAACATCGCGCATTTGTTGTCGAGACGTATTTTAAAAATCACGACTCGCTGATCATTACACAGCGTCTATTTCGTACACATTTCAATGTCGGACGTCATGGTTCTGTTCCATGCCGTAACACAATTAAGTTGTGGGTCAAAAATTTTCGTCGATCTGCATCAGCAATGAAAGCTAAGCCACCAGGAATGCGTCGAACAGTTCTGACTCCAGCCAATATTGAGAGGGTGCGAACAGCGGTGCAGCAAAGTCCACGTCGTTCAGCTAGGCTACAAGCAATTAGTCTAAGGCTTTCAGAAACAACAGTGTGGCGTATTTTGCATAAGGATTTACATTATCACCCTTACAAATAGCGATGGTTCAAGAACTGACAGCTGAAGACTTTGTGAACCGTTTGACTGCAAGCAACCAGCTTCTGGAACTTTTGGATGAAAACGCTTTAGGTGGCTTAATTATGTCTGATGAGGCGCATTTCGAGTTATCAGGCTACGTAAATAAGCAGAATTTTCGCTACTGGTGTGCAGAAAACCCGAGAGAATTTCACCAGCGACCCCTCCATAGTCGCAAGGTTACTGTTTGGTGCGGAGTGTCGCGATTCGGCATAATTGGACCCTATTTTTTTGAGGACGATGCTGGAAATTCTGTCACGGTCAATTCGCAACGTTATCTGGAAATGTTAAACACATTTTTGGAACCAGAGCTTGGTCGACGGAACATAGATTTAAATACTGTATGGTTTCAGCGAGATGGCGCCACAGCGCAGACAGCATGAGCAACAATGGTTCGACTGCGAGAAATGTTTCCAGGAAGAGTCATTTCGCGGAATGGAGATGTTCCTTGGCCGGCAAGGTCTCCCGATCTCACGGCTTGTGACTATTGGTTATGGGGTTATCTCAAAAGCAAGGTATATTTAACGAGCCCAAGGACCATTGAAGAATTGAAGGAAAACATTCGCAATGAAATTAGCGCGATTCCGATGAGTATGGTACAGCGCGTAATGGGGAATGTGCGAAACCGTTTGGAAGAGTGTGTCCGCAGTGAAGGACATCATTTGACCGAAGTTATTTTCCATACATAAAATGGCATGTAATACACTTTCGATTACTTATATATGAAAATAAATATCTTGAAAGATACATTTGTAGTTTCATATTGAAACTCATCAGGTTCCTTTGGCGGACCCTGTATAATATTATAATATGTGCTTTTTTCAAAATACGACAGGATTGGGGCTTCGCAGAACCATGGTCATGATTTCTGTTATGGTGCAAGACCAAGAAGAAGATCAGGCAAATCTTGGTCATGGCCTTGGGAAGCCCTAATATAAAATTCTTATAACCCTCCACCCTTTTATACAAGAATAAAATATTTATCATTATGTAATGAGTTCCTTGGAAACTCGAGTGTATTATTATGTTGCCGTTTGTTTGTGGAGGAACTGTCACAGGATATACAACAATGCACATCAAAGGACTTTCCGACGATATGAAGGTAAACGCTTGATGCGATGTTGATCCACGGAGGCTAACGATGCTCTGGTAACATGCGGTCTGGCATTGTCTTGCTGAATAATCGGGTTTTGAATGGTGTTTAGGTATGGAATAAGATGAAGCTCCACTACTTCCTGAATGTAGTGTCGGGCTGTCATATTGCCTCTGATGAAGACTAGTCGTGATCTGTTACCATAAACAATAGCACCCATACCATCACTCCGACTGTGTGGTGAACGCTTTCTGTCAAATTATGGGTCACGTCTTTCACCACGTCTTCTTCTGACTCTCTATACCAGAGCAAACAGTTTCGCCGATGTTCAACTATGATGTAGGCCATAAGAAAAAAGGCCAAACTATCATATTCGGCAATAAACCGTACGCGTACCTACCATCCTTCCATGCTCTTCAAACCACTGATTAGCGATGGCTCGAGTACTACTGAATCTGTTTCTCAGAGCCAGAAGTCTTAACCGGAGGTTTTGTCGCTCTGTGGTCCCTCTGGGACATTAAGAACTCCTCGCTCGCCGTCCTCGGCCTTCCTAAGTCCACGCTGGTTCACACTGTATATATTGCGTAAGGATCTGTTCATCCTCCTAGGAACTGCTCTTATCGATAGACCGGCTTCAAGCAACCCGACAATTCGACCCCTCTCAAAGTCACTAGCGGCGAATTCTAAGCAATCTAGGCATTTTGAGTAATCACAAAAAGGCTTTTCAATAAGTTACACGAAATTCAACATTTAACTGACATCGTAAATGTATCCCCAAACAATAAACGCAGTCACCACAAAAACTTAACAGAACAACCTGACCATTTTATCACTTGTTGTTCAGATAAATCGATACGTTCACAACTCTTGAATTCTGATAAACATAGGTAGACATTTTTTTGTCACGCAGAATAGTTGAAACAATGCGAAAAACAATACTGAAAAAATAGTGTTGCTAGCTCCTAAATGTTTTCCAAACATCCATTTACAAAACCCCAAATAATT